TCTGCTTCTCTAATTAGAAAAATCTGCAAGAACATACACCAAAATGTCAACTGCGGTTCCATCTGGGGAACATAAGTATGGGAAACGAGCTACCTTCCACAGTGCATATTTTGATGTTGTTTGAACTTTATACAATGAGCATGTGCTGCTTTTGTAAGCAGAAAAAAAAGTAATTAAGACCTTTTTAACGTAAAAGGAAGAATGAAGAGGAGAGGGTGACTCAGCAGCTGGCAACAGAGGGTCGACCTTCCTTCCTGTGCTCCTTTCCTCCTCCCCACCCACTTGCAAGGCACCTCAACTGAAAAACCTGGGCTCCTGCTTGCTGCATTCGTCCTTCCCCTCTCTTCCTAGTGGTTGAACTGGGCCGCTGCTATCCCCAGGGCAGCAACAGGTATCCCCTCCTTCACCTTTATTAGTGGCTTGTGGTTTACGGGATGCCTTCCAGTGCCAGCCATAAGTGCACTCTCTCCATGATGCTGCGAGGTGGCTATTCTCATGCCCATTGTAAAGACATGGAAACTTAGGCTCAGCAAAGCTAAGCTCCCTGCCAAAGGTCACATAGCATGTTCAGTAATTGTGCCTGGGCCCAAATTCCCAGGCCAGGCTTCTTGAATGCTGCATCATTTCAAGCTCATTTCAGGAACTGAGGTTTGCTGCCTAAAATCGGCCTGTTGGATCTTGTTTACTACATGAAACAGCAAATGCGCTCCTGTTCTCTGAAGAGCCCATCCCTGCAGCCTGTGGGCACTCAGCCCCTCCCTGCACTGCCTTGGCTCTGGGGCCAAGCCTGAGAGAGGAATGGAAATGGGCCTCTTTGGGCCCCTGGACAGAGAAGGGAGGTGGGTAAAAGTAGGAGGGGATGTGCTGGGTGCAGACCCTCAGCATGCACACAAGCCGGCACAGGCAGGCAAACCCTGCCAGTCTAGGAAAGGGGTAGGGGCTGGGCAAGTGGCCCATGCCTGTAATTCCAGCACTTTGGGAGGCCGAGGTGGAGGATCACCTGAGGTCAATGGCTCGAGACCAGCTCATAACATGGTGAACCCCTGTCTCTACCAAAAATACGAAAATTAGCCAGCCATGGTGGCGATCACCTGTATTCCCAGCTACTTGGGAGGCTGAGGCAAGAGAATCACTTGAACCCAGGAGGCAGAGGTTGCAGTGAGCCGAGACTGTGCCACTGCACTCCAGCCTGGGCAACAAGAGTGAAACTCCATCTCAAAAAAAAAAAAAAAATGTCACATGAGGCTGAATCAGAATTAGATTTAAACAATAAATGGGGTTTGGTCCTTATTGAAACACGGGAAGCAACAAACCTCATGAAATGAGAATGTAATGATAATTTGATGATGAACAATCACCATTGCAAAGAGAACTTCCAAACGCTGTCACGCGCCAGAGATATATCGACTTAATCAACGACCATCGTGGTTTTGTTTCAGCCATAAACACATACAGACATGTTGTCACACAAATTTACACAGAAGCAGCTCTAATTAAGACAGAGTTATTTCAAGGTTTAAAGTAGAACATCAGGAAGAACAAATAACTTGAAAGGTAGAAAGAAATAAAGTAAATAGAGAAATTTTGAAAGAGACAAAGCAACACTGAATTTTTCCTTTCATTGAAATCAGGAAAATTGAGTAAATGCACAACACGGGAAAGACTACCCGGGCGCCATTATTCACAATAGAAAAAGGTGTGGAAGGGAAATGATTAAAAACAACCAGAGCTTAAATAAAGCTTCAAACAAAGGAGACATCAAAAACGGGAAAGTAAGAATGACATCTGTGGGGAACGACAAATTGTAAAAGGCAGAGCATCGGTAATATCACAAAAACAAGATGAAGTTTCAGCAACCGCGCTTTCTGCTTGTAGTAATAGCATAATGAGTGTTATCTTGGGTCTGGAGTGAATTTACAGAATCAGCCTGCGAAAGGGCGGCAGAAGTTCAGGTGACAGTCAAACAACACAGAAAGCCCTGAACCGGCTTTTTTTTTTTTTTTTTTTTTTTTTTGAGACAGAGTCTCATTCTATCACCCAGGCTGTAGTGCAGTGGTGTGATCTCAGCTTACTGCAACTTTCGCCTCCTGGGGGTTTCAAGCAATTCTCCTGCCTCAGCCTCCTGAGTAGCTGGGATTACAGGTATGTGCTACTGTGCCCAGCTAATTTTTGTATGTTTAGTAGAGATAGGGTTTCACCATGTTGCCCAGGCTGGTCTCGAACTTCTGACCTCAGGTGATCCACCCACCTTGACCTCCCAAAGTGCTGGGATTACAGGCGAGAGCCACTGCGCCCCGCCGAGAACCAATACCTTCAACATGATGTGAATTTCTTTTAACAAACAGCACAGAGGGGAGAAACGCCATGGGAAAGAGGCAGAACACCACCACCAAAAGGAGAAGCCCCCTTGCTTCTGGAGACAGATGGCTTTCCAGGGCTCAGATGGTCTTACTTATACTGACAATGCTTTCTCTGTTCACAAACTCCTCTCCAGAAAGACCAACGTACAATACACCGAAATATTGCCAAGAGATATTGACTCTGGTTATCACTCTGTAAAAATGATATGATGGGTAGTTGGTCTTACAAAGGAGCTGTGAGAATGTGTGTAGGGCTGCCTGGAGCCAATCTTTACTAACTGTGTAACCAGGAGGGAGTGCTGTGACCCCTGGAGCCTCAGTAAAGCAGAGATAAGAATGGTACCTAATTATTTAAAACAAGGATCTCTGAGTAAAGAAACAAAAAATTAAAAGAATGGTACCTAATTCAGCCAGGCACAGTGGCTCATGCCTCTAATCCCAGTGCTTCAGGAGGGCAAGGCAGGAGGATCACTTGAAGCCAGGAGTTTGAGACCAGCCTGGGCAACATAGCAAGACCCCATCTCTACAAAAAATTAAAAAATTAAAAATTAGCCAGGTATGGTGGCATGTGACTGTGGTCCCAGCTACTCAGGAGGCTGAGGCGGGAGGATCGCTTGAGCCAGGAGTTCAAGGTTACAGTAAACTGGCTGTGCCACTGCACTCCAGCCTGGGCAACAGGTGTTGCCCTGGAAAGCAAGATCCTGGAGAGCAAGACCCTGTCTCTTTAAAAAAAAAAAGAAAAGAAAAGAAAAGAAAAGAAAAGAAAATTATTGGTACTTAACTCATAAGTCACTTTGAGGATCAGATGAGAAAAGCTGTATAAAATAAAGCACTTAGCAAGTGTGGCATACATCAGAAGCACCCAAGGACATGTTAGCTGTCATTATGATTACAGCATGTCCCAACGTGGCTAGTGCACAGTCAGCCGGACAGGTGATGGCTCTTACCTTTGTCACTCTTTTCCCACTTTCTGCCCTCACCGAAGGGCCAAGTGACAGGGACTCACATGGATCCTGGTGTCTATGCCCCACCCGTCCCCAGGGCTGAGCTGCTCGAGGCAAGGCTTGGGATTCTAGGCTGGGCAGGTCTTTTTTTTCCCCTCTCTTCCCTTTTCCCTGCAATGCTCTTGTTTCAGCCTCAAACTGCGTTCCCAGGGCTTGCTCAAAACTCCCCGGAGCAACGCTCCCTGGGGAGGAAGTGCGGAGCGTGTGAGGCTGGTGAACTCGGCTGGGGTGTCAAGGGGGTGGGAGGGCACTCTGGGAACAGAGGCCCAGGGAAGCTGTGCGACAAAGGGGACAGGGAAAGGGACACGCAGGGGCTCCCACAGTTTCCCCAGATGCCTCTTCAGACCTTTGCTCTCTCCCTGCTTCTGCTCTTCCTCCCATGACTGGGCTTTGCTACGGCTCCAGCCCCATGCTAATAATAGAAATAGCAGCCATTTATCCTGGGCTTATGATGTGCCTGGAAATATGCTCGCACTTGACATCTGCCTCATTTGACCTTCACAAACAAGACTGTGAGGTCGGAAACAGGCTCAGAGAGGTGAAGACACCAGCTTTAGATCACACAGCTAGGAAGTGCTAGAGGTGAGATTCAAACGTAGGTCTGCATGACTCAAAGCCTATGTCTTTTCTTTCCAGACATGTGGTGGAAACCCTAGGGCCCTGGAGCCCAAGGAGAGCAAGGGCTGTACCAAGTGCACAGGCGTGAGTGAGCTGAGGAAGGGGAACTGTGAGCAAAGAGGTCCCTCCAGAAAGAGCTGGGTGTGAGCATGAGTTCGTGAGCTTGCCTGGAGCCCTGGCCTCAGCCCTCTCCTCACTGAGGTGCCATCTGGCTCACAGATGTGGCCCATTCCCAGCCCTTCATGTTTCTTGGAAATGAGCAAGGCAGGAAAGGGCACAGGGGCTTCTGCGATGACCATGGCGATGATAACTTTGACTTGTGGTCATCCAGCCAGCTACTGCCCATGCCCAAGAGAAAGCTGGATTGAGCTTCAGGAGCCTGGGTTCAAGTCTGCCTCTCATGCTGTCCCACAGGTGACCCCGGGCAAATCGCACAGGCTCCTGGAACTTCAGAAAGGGGAAGAATTATTCCTACCTCTGGCGACATCCGTGAATGTGCCTTGAGTTATGGGAGTGTTTTGCAGGCTGAAAGCTTTGTGTACATGGGAGGCATCAAAGACAGCCGCAAGCCTGTCCCTTTGGTCTTGGTCATCATGTTAACCCCAGGTTTTGATTAAACCCTACATGCTCCTTTCTTATGTGTGAGGCTGAGGTGGGGGCATCGGTCAGAGGAGCCTCTGGGAAATTTCCTTTCAGGACAGTTCTTTTGTTAAGGGGCCTGGGTGTGCTGAGAAGGGAAGGTGGCTCCTCCTGCTCTTGGAGCTTGGAGTTTCTCAGAAACTCTCCCTTAAAAGCCAGGCAGGCCAAGAAGGGATAATGGTTGCTCAGAGCCCAAGGGGCAGGATCTCTGAGGCCCGGAAGATCTCAGTAGGTTCAGCCCAAGAGTACCCAGAAGTGGCCCAGGCCCATCCTCCATCCCTCAGAGCCTGGCAACCTGGTCAGGACCCTCAAAGGCCATGACCGTACCCAAAGGGCACCCTGGTGTCCTTCTGACAGGTGAGATCTTTGTTTCTTTCAGGCAAGGGCACTGACTGGTGGGAGCCACCCCTGCCACGCTGATGTTGGAGAAGCAAGAACTCTGGAGAAGCAGCCTCCTGGGACCAGAGGAGGGCCAGCAGCGGGCAGCTCAGAGACAGAACTGTGAGCCCACCCCACCTCCACCCCTCCGGCACCCACATCCACTCCCCACCCCAGCCCACCTGCAGGCGGCTCCTGGAGTAACCTGGGTCTCTCAGGATAAACTCCCCACCCCAACCTCAGAATGACCAAGAAAGCGGGCCTCAGGATGATGAGAAGCAGAATGGGCCTTGGTAAAGGAAGGCTCCCCACTGATTGGTGGCAGTGTGGGCAATTCAGGGCTGTCAGAGTCTGGGTTGTAGGTAAAAAGAAATGGAACCCAAGAAGGGAAATCCAACTAGGAGCCAAGAATCCGGTCTACCCCATTCTCCTTACAAAATAGCAATGCAAAGCCTGTGTGATTTGGACATAAAGCCTCTGTTATTCAACTTGATTTGGTGAATAACAGACTTGAGAGAAATGTGGGAAAATAATAGTAATCTTCCCCAGAAAGTGAGCTCCTAAAGCAGGAAGACCTGGGGCTGTGTGATCTTGGATGAGTCACTCAACCCTCTGAGCCTAGTGATAAAGAGCCAGCTCATATGACTTTGAGAGGGTTTGTGAGGTTGGGCTGGTGTCCCCAGGCGCAGCGCTTGGCACATGGTGAAACTCAAGAACACAGAGCAGTTTTTACCATTCATCACATTATTTCCCACACTTGCCAATTTTTAAATTTCATGCTCATGGTGGAACAGGTAGGGCGAGGTGCCAGCTCCATAAGACAAGTGGAGAAACTGAGGCCTGTGGAAGTGAAAGCATTCACTCAGAGTGGCACGTAGGGTCAGTTGCAAAGGGGAACTCTGGCACCAGTTCTCATGTGGATGGAAAAAGTACAGGAAGATTTGGAGGTGAGCAGAGGAGAAGGGAGGAGGAGGCAGGGTTCCAGGAAAGGAGCTGACACTCAGGGATGTGGGACAAGTCGCAGGCCTGTCTTACATAACATGGTCCACCTGTTCACCTCTGCATGCCCCACAAATGTGTGCAAACGTGCACCCCAGCACAGCGCACACCCAGTCCTCCCTCACTAGCAAATAAGCCACAGAGACTGGGTTTAAACAAATTGGATTAGGAGGGCTGCAGGCGCCTCCTCCCGCCGACTGTCCGGCTCCGACACTAAACAGGCCTGCAGAACTGCCAGCTGTGGTCTCTCGGACACACTGACAGTTGGTCCTTTGCTCCCTCACCCCACCCGTGGGCCTCAGGAAGGGGGCTGGGGTCCGAGAGGATGCCACAATGATGGATGGGGTGAGGGATGTTCCAGGGCTAGCTCAACAGCACACAGGATGTTAGTGCTTTTGCGAGGCACATTTCCGAACAGTTCCCAGATGCACCCCCTCTTCCCCCCTCACCCTCCCCTCCCGCAGCCTCTCCCATGGCCAGTGCTGCTGTCTGGGACTTGGGCCCAGCGTGAGGCTTCAACCAGAGCCCCGTCCTTGAGCAGACTCACCTCATCTTTCAGTCCTGCAGCTGGGCTGAGCGGGGAGTGGTCAGCTCAGAAGACACTGGCCTGGGGATGAGACACGGGGAATGCTTCAGAGAGAAGAAAGAGCTTGTGAACAGGCAACGCTGGTCTTAAAGGTGGCATCTTGGTGCTTTCTCATGCCTTGTTTTCTTTCATCCTCAGAATGTGGCTGAGGGTGAGGGGACGGGTGTGACTGCCAAAACTTCCTTTCTTGGTGATTCCACAACACACCTTTCTGATCCCTGAGCCTGTGCCATGCCTGGTGTGATGTGCCGGGGACACCAGGGTGAATACTTACAGTCCCTGTCCCCCTTCCTTCGTGGAACAGCCTCCTTCAGGCTGGGTCACTGGGCACTGGGGCCTCCCTGGTCTTCCAGGATTGCAACTTCACAGAATCCCTTTTCCATAAGGCACATGGAAGGGACTGTCACCCGCAACAGGAGCCTTAACAACCAGCCAATTCAGAACACAGACCTTGGTGTCAGACGGCCCCGAGTTCAAATCCTGCCTTGCTCTCTTTCAGCTGGAAAGCTGTGGTCAAATTACTTAGCCTCTCCAAGCTGGTTTTCCCTTCTGCAAAATGAGGGTGTACAAGCTGCCACCTCACAGAATGACTGTGAGAATTAATTCTTATTTTCCATACCCTCATTTGAGAGGGGGAGAAACAGAAGCCCAGAGAGGGAAAGGGCTTGGTTAGGATCACACCATGAGTTGGGGGTTAAGTCAGTATGGGGTAGGTCCCCTCCTTCTCTGGGTGTTCCTCTCTCCCATCCCTTATCTCAACATAAATCCTCCCCAATTGCCCAGGTTGTCCAGGCAATTCCTGGCACATGTCCTGGGGCCTGCCCTCCACCTTCAGCCCTGCTCTGGCCTCTGCAACAGCAGAGTCCTGGGTGACCAGCAATGACCCCCGGCCCTCTGAGTGCTGGTAGAGGGTGGGGGAGCTCTGCGGCAAGCTCCCAGCCCAGAGCAGCCTGGCCATATAAGGGAAGGAGCCCAGGGAGGCCTCCTGGCTCAGGCCTGGCGAGAAAACCCAGACAGCCACTGTTTATTTTCTCCTCCCCAGCTCACCCACGCCTCCCCAAGCCTCCCGACAGAAGACAGAGGTCCCCCACGGCCCAGAGACATTTCCTGAAGACATGGGGAGCACAGAGGCGGAAACAGCCCATCCACCCAGGAGCGGCCCCCAATGCTGCCTGCAGCCAGCACCCAGAGCCATCAGGTAAAACTGAGGCCACCTGGCTCAACATTGCTTTTCACAGAAGGGGAAACAGCCACAGAGAGAAGGGCCTGGTAAGAAGTGCAACCTGGGACCCCCAAGCGGTGGCTCTCATCCTGACCGGGGATCCAGAGTAGGAGGGAGCCTTTGGTGGGGTAAGTGGAATGGGGGAGGGGTGGCCATAGACCCCTCTTCTCAGTGAGGCCCTCAGGTGAAGGAGGCAGGGGTTGGGACAAGTGCTAAGTGTGCAAGACTCCAGGGAAGAGCTGCTGGAGCCAGGAGAAGCCCCTCCCTCCCAGCCCCTCTGCCCCTCCTCTCAGCCCAGCTGCACTGACTCCTCCTCTGGGAAGCCTTCTCAGCTTCCCCAGGGGTGGGAACTTTTTGTCCTCTGAGTGTGCTTGGCTGTCCTTTCTAGGGCACGCTCTCTCTTTCTCTCTTTCTCTCTCTCTCTCTCTCTCTCTCTCTCTCTCTCTCTCGCTCTCATCCCACTTGAGTCTGTCCCCTGTTCACCTTGTGAGGGGCAGTTTCCTTCTACTCAATCTGACTGAGGTCCTCCAGCTCAAGGACGGCGTGTCTCTCAGTCCCACTTCCCCTTGGCCCATAGAAGAGGCAGTGTGCTGAATGGGCAGGTGAAATGATTAAACCCTGCCCCCGAACCTAAGGTCTGGCCAATTGCTCAGGGCATGAGACATTCAGTGTAGAGGTTAAAATGAGGGCCCTGGGTTAGGAACCCCAGTTCAGTTCCCAGCTCTGTACCCTTGGAAAAATCCATTCCCAGGGAGCTTTGTGGATGCACAGGGACTTGCGTAATGAAAACATTCAATATCCAGGACTATAAAATTCCACAAATGACCATGCTTATTACATTCATAATCATGATGATTATTCCAGACACAAAGGAACAGAATGAGGCACCAACAGCCAGGGGTGGGCAGATTCAAGGGCCACAGAGGAAATGGAGGCAAACACCTTCCCCTGGTCAGAGTCTGTGCCTCAGCCCTTCTCCCTGCATCAGTTTCTCCTTCAGAAGCGTGGGACTACCTCCCATCTAGTTCCTGGTTCTAAACCCAGGGGAGATGTTATCTTTGCTGCAATAATCTTAGCCTACATCTTGGAATGGAAATGGCCTTGGTGGAAATGGTCTTCAACTCTCCTGGTCCAAGCTCAGGCCCTGTGACCCTGGAACAACCCCCTTCCCTTCCTGGTCCTCTATGTAGAAGCAATAACATTCCGTTGCCAGCGGCACCAGCCATTCTGATGATTAAATGGGATCGGACACTGTTTCCCAAACTCAGTCATTCAGATGCCCCCTATTTTATTTCTTCCATGTCTGCAAACGATTATAATATTTTTAAATGTAGGATGAGTCCTTTTTAATACAAATAGAAACAGCTACTATAAATAGAAAACTCTGATACCATACATAATTAGCAAATAAAGGTAACCATAAATACAGTAAAAATGAAACAATGTTATTACACTTTAACCTAATAGTTTGGCTTGCAAGGCCCTGAGCCTGAAGCCTGGGCAATTAGTGAGAGTTAAAAAGGTGTCAAAGACATGATAGTAGCAAACTGAGGCTTTCTACCCCACGGAAAATAGGACTGAAAGCAAATTGACAGGGAGCAACTGATCCACTCCACAACAGAACGGATCCGTTTCTCCCTGACAATTTGCTTTCCATTCTGTTGTGTCCCGTCTCCCAGCAGAGGCTACAAACTCCCCCACATCACTTACCCACCTGCTGCACGTGCGAAGCCAAAGGTAGTTTATCTGAAAGGGCTTTGGAAATAATCACGCACCAAGTGAAGGCGGAGGACGCACCTTGTCAGCTTAGTTCTTGGCAGCAAATCATCTCTTTTTCAGGATAACCCTGCCTGGTTCTTACTGAAATCTCCTTGCTGAACATGCTAAGCTCTTCTCTCTCAGGCGCAGTGGGAGCCGTGGAGAGTGGAGTAGACCAGCTGTCCGTGACCCCCAAAGGAGTCCAATGTTGGAATCACTCCCCAGCCAAATGCAGGATTTTTAAAAATCTATTTATTTATTCGTGTAGAGACCAGGCGATGAGACTGGCTAATTTTTTGTATTTTTTGATAGAGACAGGATTTCATCGTGTTGCCCAGGCTGGTCTTGAACTCCTGGGCTCAAGCGATCCACCAGCCTCAGCTTCCCAAAGTGCTCAGGATTACAGGCGTGAGTCACAGTGCCCAGCCACCAAATGCAGTTGAAAAGAGTTCCTGCAAGAGAATTCCACAGAAGAGGAAAGCAGTTCTCTGGCTGGCAATACCGTAGACAGAGGTTGTCGTCTCCACAGGCTGTCAGAACTGACCTGCTGATCTAACCGGCATGCTAGACCAGAGGTAAACACTCTTCCCACTCTTCCCAGAGTGAGGCCTGACTTCAGCTTTCTGCTAGAGGTGTAAGAGATAGACCTTTTTTTTTTTTTTTTTTTTTTTGAGACAGAGCCTCACTCTGTCGCCCAGGCTGGAGTGCAATGGCAAGATCTCGGCTCACTGCAACCTCCACCTCCCCAGGTTCAAACAATTCTCCTGCCTCAGCCTCCCAAGTAGCTGGGATTACAGGCCCCTGCCACCACACCTGGCTAATTTTTGTATTTTTGGTAGAGGCGGGGTTTCACCATGTTGGCCAGGCTGGTCTCGATCTTCTGACCTCAGGTAATCCGCCTGCCTTGGCCTCCCAAAGTGTTGGGATTATAGGCATGAGCCACTGCACCTATCGTGGTTTTTTTGTTTGTTTGTTTGTTTGTTTGTTTTTTAAGAGACAAGGGCTCCCTATGTTGCCCAGGCTAGTCTTGAACTCTAGGCTCAAGCAATCCTCCTGCCTGAGCCTCCCAAAGTGCTAGGACACAGGCGTGAGCCACTGCTCCCAGCAACGTTTTTGTTTTTTTAAGGAGATATATTTTTTCTGTTCTCTCTCAGCCCTGAAGAAAGGCTACCCACCCCCTTCAGATATTCCTGAAAATGCATGTCATCCAACATCAAGGCCACCACAGTGACCACTAAGCAATGCAAGAAGGTCCTCTGGGGTGCCCTGAGATCTTGGCAGGGCAGGAAGAGTGAGAAGGGGCTTTGCCTGCTCACCTGAAAGTTACCACCCAAGCCAGGCCCAGAAAACAAAATGAATTATCTACATGGTCATCCAATCAGCCACCAAATGGCATTACCTGGGTCCATCATCATGTACCAAGCCACGGGTCAGAGCCAGAGCCCCCCAAATTAATAAGACACAGGCAGTGTCCTCAGGAAGTGGAGATCTAGCCAGGTGAGACACACAGAAATAACACTGATACTAGAGCTAATGAGATTGGGAATTATGATTCAGCCATTCAACCTGGGCTTAGGTGGCATCTACACCACCTGTCCCTGATTTCAGTAGTGAGCACAGTTGACAGGGTCCCTTCCCCTCGCAGGTGAGCCATGTGGTCCACAAGTGGAGGTGGTTGTAAGTGAAAACCACATTACCAGCATGGTAAAGGGTTAGAAAGAGGGCACAGGATGGGTGAGAACATGGAGCAGGGGGTGCTGATGGCTAAAGAAGTCAAGGAGGGGCTGGGCACTGTGGCTCATGCCTATAATCCCAGCACTTTGGGAGACCGAGGTGGGTGGATCACCTGAGGTCAAGAGTTCTAGACCAGCCTGGGCAGCATGGTGAAACCCTGTCTCTACTAAAAATACAAAAATTAGCCAGACATGGTGGTGCATGCCTATAGTCCCATTTACTTGGGAGGCTGAGGCATGAGAATCACTTGAACCGGGGAGGCAGAGGTTGCAGTGAGCTGGGATTGCGTCACTGTACTCCAGCCTGGGTGACAGATGGAGACTGTCTCAAAAAAACAAAAAAGTCAAGGAGGATTTCCCAGAGTGGACACTTGATTAGAGACCTAGCACAGGAGGAGGAGATGGGCAGGGAAAGTGAGGGGGAGCAGCACAGTCCTGGGGAGCCCAAAGTGGGTAGGCACAGGGCTCCCTGCGAGAATGTAAGGACATCTATGAACTATAGCCCAAGAGGAAGAGGTCACTGGGGCCAGATACGGCAGGCCCTTGCAGGCTTTGGGGAGGGCTCCAGAATTCAGCCTGAGGGCAATGGGGAGCCCTTGTAGGATACTAAACTTGAGAAAGATGTGACCATATTTGCATCTTGAAAAATCATTATGGGAACATGGCTGGGAAGAGAGGAGGAGTGGCAGAAGAAAGACAGGTTGAAGACAATTGATTGTTTGATGATATAAAATGTTAAGTACCATGAATGAGGTTGTTTGGCTGGGATGCACCAAGCATAAACATGGGACATGGCGTCAAAAGGTAGGTCAACATATTAAATAATTCCATTTATTGAAATATCCAGAATAGACAGATCTATAGAGACAGAAACCGGTCTGTCCAGGACTAGGGGTTGTCTAAGGATAAGGAGCTTCTTTTTTGGGTGGTGAAATAAGCTAAAATTTATTGTACCATTGTTTGCACAACTTCTTTGTGAATGTATTAAAAACCACTTAATTATACTCATTAAATGTTCTCCTTCTAAATTAAGCTGTTTGGGACAAGAAAAGAAAAGCCAAAAAAAAGAAAAAAGAAAAAAGAAAAGAACAGAACAGAACAGAAAAGAAAAGAAAAGGAAAAAAAGGTCAAGGTTTGGTCCTGGGTGCTCAAATGGCAGGCCACAGACAGGAAACACAGCTGTGGGGGATTACAACAGCCTCTTGACCAGAGCTGGAGGGGTGGAGCCCAGGTCCCCTCTAACGCCCCTTCTCCTGGCCAGGTTGGAGTCCTGCCACAGGTCGCCAGAGCGGAGCAGCGCAGTGCCGTGTCTCCCAGCCTGAGGTGCAGTGCTGCATCTCTGGTCAGTTGGGAGTCTGAGATGAAGCACTGTAGCTCAGGAAGAGAGAAGTTGTTCTGCAGCCATCAGCCTGGAAGTGGTAAGTGCTGGGGGTTATGGGGGCCATACCAGGAAGGACAGTGTTTCCAGACTCCATACTGTCAGCCACTTGTGATGCTGGGGAAGTTCCTCGACACAAGTTCCCCTGGTGCCACAATCTGTTTCACGCGTCTGGGCCTGTCCTGACTTCTCTGCGTACCCCAGTGTGTCCATCTTAGCATGAGGTGTTAGCATTTCCCCAGCACCCTGACTCTGCTTTCTCTTTCTGAGCCCATGGCAGACACAGCTAATCAGTAAAGGCATACATTCTTTCTTTTGAGACACAGTCTCACTCTATCACCCAGGCTGGAGTGCAGTGGCATGATCTCAGCTCACTGCAACCTCCTCCTCCCAGGGTCAAGCAATTCTCGTGCCTCAGCCTCCCGAGTAGCTGAGATTACAGGTGTGTGCCACCATGCCTGGATAATTTTTGTATTTTTAGTAGAGATGGGGTTTCACTATGTTGGTCAGGCTGGTCTCGAACTCCTGACTTCAGGTGATCTGCCTGCCTCGGCCTCCCAAAGTGCTGGGATTACAGGCATGAGCCTGTATGCCCCACCAGGCATCCATTCTTGAAGTGCTCAGAGGCAGCTTCAGAATCCTCAACAATGAGCCCTGGAAAGCCACTATTATTGATTCACAGCTGAAACTCATTCATCATTTGTGGATCAAACAATTCCTAAACACCTTTTCAGCCCTGGAGATAAAAATTCTGGCCTTTGAGTCAGGGTCTTCACTCTTTGTTTCTAGGTGTTGCCAAAACCAGTCCAGGCACCTCACAAATGTCTGACTTCTCCCAGAGGCTTCAGACATGCAATGAGCAGCAGAGGAGAGCCATGGAGTCAAGCAGAGTTTCATTTAACCTCCCCAAAAGTTTGGAAAGTGGGTGGTGTTATAGCCCCATTCTACAGATAAGAAAAACTGAGGCTCATTTAAGCAGCTCACCTAAGGTCACATATTGATTGTGCTGAGCTGAGATTGTACCTAATCTGCCTTCAAATTCATATTTTACCCATTGCATATGATTATGGAACCTGGGACCGGGGAGCAGAAGGAGAACATTCTAAATCCTGCTCCCATCTTGTCTTTACATCTCAGGCCACTTTTAGCAAAGACAGACCCGGACACTTGCCATTAATACTACAGGCTTCCTTCCTCCTCCCCACTTCCCCCTAATCTTATTCATCTCACCTCTCCAGCAGGTCCTAGACTCATGCATTTTGTAATTAAAGAAGGCCAAGGCTCAAGGGTTAAGTGACTTACTGGAGGTCATCAGAGAAGAAATTGCCAAACCCAACCTAGGAACTGAATTGTTGGTTTAAATTCACCCCTCTAGCAGGAGACTGGGGAATACACATGAGCCAGGCAGAGAGCAGAGGGCAGTCCTGGGGGCGGGGGCGCCAGAGGGTTTCTGGTACTTTCCAG